AAAAAAAAACATGGACTTCTGACAGTGAACTAATGACCACAAAGAATGGATGTTCTCAACGCTTTAACAATAAAAGTCCACTCACAATTTCAAAATAAAAGTCGATACATCGGCCAGACTGAAAAACGTGTCGGCCAATGCCCATAAAAATGTCAAATATCAACCTTATTATCTATCTACCTCTAATATTTACTAAATTACAGTATAAATAGTTCATTTGAAAATGAAAATATAAATAAAACTGGACTTCAGACAGTAAACTAATAAAGACAAAGAATGGGAGTTCGGATGGCGTTCTCAACGCATTCAAAATAAAAGTCACACACAATTTCAAAATAAAAGTCGACACATCGGCCAAACATAGAAATGTATCAGCCGATGCCGATATAAAAAAAAGTAAATTATCGGCCGATATATCGGCCTCGGCGGTATATCGATCAACCACCAATATCTAATAAATTAGAAATAATTCATTTGAATATGAAAATATAAAAAACTTCAGACATTGAACTAATGAAGACAAAGAATGCATGGCGTTCTCAACGCTTTCAAAGTCCCAGACAATGTCAAACAGAAAACCGTATCGGCCAATGCCGATATTTAAAAATGTAAAATATTGGCCGATATATCGGCCTCGGCGGTATATCGGTCAACCACTAGTATTTACTAAATTAGAAATAATTAATTCGCTAATGAAAATAAAAATAAAAAACTAGACAATGTATGACGTTCTCAACTCTTTCAAAATAAAAGTCCCACACAATTTCAAAATAAAAGTCGGCACATCGGCCAAACATAGGAACTTATCAGTCGACGCGATAATTAAAAAATGCCAAATATCGGCCGACCACCAGCTGACATACTCGTGTTTGTCCTGTTCGATGCGTTCGGGCTGCCCGGCGATGAAGATTCTGAGTTTGCAGTCTTTCCATTTCTTCCGAGTGGTCAGAATGTGAGGCAGAAGCAGCGTGAGACCTGCACACACACACACACACACACCGTCACACTGTAAACCTCGCAGGACAGAGGAACACGTGGGGCTTCTGCTCACCTCCGTCATCAAACAGCCACCAGACGTCGATCGTGCCTTTGCCCTGTCTCCTCTTGAACTGGCTGCTGGCCTCCACCAGGCGCTGGTTCATCTTCGCCAGGTCGGATGTGCGAGGAACGTCCAGAGACACTGAAGACAAGAGCAAATCAGCTTTATTTCTATAGTGTTTCAATGCAGCTTCACAGGAAAATATCAATGATGCAAACCTCATCAAATATGAAACCAATTCCAATTCTGCTTAAAGCAATAGTGGCGTTACAGTTACAGAATGCTATTAATATTTATAAATAACAAATCAGAATTTCATTGCAAAGGATCAAATTCAAATCGAGTAGCTTTTTTTTTTTTTTTTTTTTTAAATACATATATTTTTCTGAGCCGCTCTTTCAATTATTTCAACCAACTGGTGTTGAGATGTCCAAAAACTTTTGTTTTCATTTTAAAATAATATTGAAACCTAACTTTTGCTCCAAACATGTCCTGTATATCTTTAAAATTAATGCCACTTGTTGGTATGCATGTTTATATTTAAGAAATATTTGCATGGATATACTCTCTCAATATATATATATGTACACATAATTTATATTATATATAAATAACTGATTTTTCTTAAGTACAAACATGCATGTGTGTGTATTTTTACACACAATACACACACGAATATTATGTAAACACAAACCTTTATATCGGATGTGATTAATCGTTGCTCAGCACTAGTTAAAATACTTTAGCGGACGCTGCTTGTGGTTTATTAGGCTGGTGAGTTCAGACATCAGCACAAAAGACAAATCAGGGTTTAATGAGTCGTTTGGAATACGAGCGCCTGCCAAATGTGTTTGGAATACGAGCGCCTGCCAAATGTCACGTGACAGAACGATTGGATCTGTTTCGGAAGAGGCAGTGAAGATAAAGATCATGGTAAATGCAGAAAGAGCGGAGTCTGCAGCGCTTGAGCACATCAAGCCTCTTAAAAACGTTCCCGTACGCGTGAGAGTTCGGGACAGAGACCAGACTATTAGATTACAGCAGCACTAACGGCTTGACCGAGGCACGCTTAATCAGGTTTTATTGGATGCGCTTGCAAAGCCTGCGCTGTGTTCATTTCCTGGGCCGAACACTGCAAAAAAAGCTTTTCTTACTTAGTACTTTTGTCTTGTTTCCAGTCCAAATATCGAAAACTTCTTAAATCAAGATGCATTTACTAGATGAGTAGAAGGCCAAAAACTGTTTTCCGGGGAAATTAATCAAAATGAAGTGAGTTGATGCTTAAAAAAAGCAAAATGATCTGCCAATGGGGTCAGAAAAATAATCATAATTCAAACAGAAACAAGATTATTTTTCTGACCCCATTGGCAGATCATTTTGCTTTTTTTAAAGCATCAACTCACTTTGATTAATTTCCCAGAAAACAAGAGTTAAAGGGATAGTTCACCCCAAAAATGTAAA